AGCAAGCAAGCAAGCAAGCAAGCAAGCAAGCAAGCAAGCAAGCAAGCAAGCAAGCAAGCAAGCAAGCAAGCAAGCAAGCAAGCAAGCAAGCAAGCGAGGGAGAGAGGAAGGAAGGAAGGAAGCCGAAGGAAGGAAGGAGAAAAGAAGCAGGGAGGAATGAAGTAGGTCACCATCAAAGCCAGCCAGACTATTTTCAGGCAGGCAGGTGGGCTAAAAGACAGAAAGGCAGAGATTAAAGAGTGACGTGAATAATTAAACAATTAGCAAATATAGTTTTTTCGCTAATTTCAGGATGAAATATAAATCATTGTTCAAAATCATTACGTGCCAGCTGTCAATGCATCTTGCTGTCTTAAATTCCCTCTAATTACACTATCCTGATACTTTAATCAGTACAAGATAATTCACTGCTTTTGTTTTCGTTTAGAAAAAGAGGCCAGTCTGAAACCATCTGAACTGAAGGCAGGCATTTGAGTGGCATAAAAATCGATGTTGAAAAGTCAATGAATAAAACAATTCATCACATGTTTTTTCCACAACGCTACCTTTTTTATAAACATAATTAGTTAAAATGCTTTCAGAAAAGTCATAATTGTTTTATTGCAGGGGTGACCGATGGCTTTTGAATCAAATCGAGATGAATTTCAATTTATATTGAATTGATCGGCTGATTTAGTAAACACGACATTGTTCACGATTCTAGGAAACGTGTTTGATAAGGTTGATGCCAGTTAGCAATTAAAACAAATTTATGTGAGTGTACCAAATGTCTATCAATCATATGAGATATGTGACAAAATTTTGTAAGCATAAGCTGTAGGTGGTAACTAATGATTGTCCACCCAGAGTAATGAAACAAAGAAAATATCGTACCTCTATATGCAAGAACCACTTGAAGAAGCAGCAAGAACAATACACCCTTCATGTTTTGTCAGCTCAAGACATTCGTGAATATGACTGTTTTAATTTCAAGTCCATCACTTGATTTCAAATCTCTTTTTAAATTATTCATTGATTACGATCTTTTAAGTAGGTCTGTAACCACTTTGGCTGATAGGTCTAACGGTGTAGTGGGAGTGGCGAGTCAAGCAGGTTTCCCACACTTTTCACTTTTCTGACTGCTCTATTGCACTGAAGCTATGAAAAATATCTCAATGGGAGGGAACGTTTTCAACTCGAAACCTGCAGCACGAGCCACGATTCTTAGGGAATTTTAGACGGTGTATGAATTCTGAAATTCGCCATTTTAATCAGAGACATCTAAATAGAAGGTTGTTTGGTCAAACGTTTGTAACAAATTCATTTCTTTCTGGTAAAAGAGGTTAAGACTTCAATCTTAAAAGAATGAGCCGATTTATCAGATTTATAAAAAACATTTCCTTGCCTAAAATTTTTAGTGTGAGTTTGATGGAAGAAGGGAAGCCATTCTTGAACCTTCTTGGCCAAAAAAATTGAAACTTTCTTTTTCGAACACGAATTAAGTAGGATAGAAGCTTTTCAGATAAAGATGATAATTCTTCCGCAGATATATTCTGATAATCTGGTTAAAACGTTTGTTTGTTCATGGAGTGAGTACTGAAAAGCTATTTTTTAATTATACTGTAGCAAAAATCTGGAAAGGATTCCCAAAAGACCTTAAATGCATAGATAACATCCAAATTTTCAAGAGACTCTTTAATTACATAAGATCTAAATAGACATTTTAATTTCACGCTTCTGAATTCTCGCATCTATTAGTAGTAGCAGTTTTACATTTAACAACGTTTTATATAAATTTATATATTAAATTTTCGATTACCTTAATTGTTGCTGAAAAGCCTTTTCAAAGGAGCATCAATAAAATGCATGTACGTATGCCCGTGTATTACCCTCAACACCCATAAATGAAATAAAAACGGTTCTTCTATAGATCCTGAACAATCTTCAGCCAAAAACTTAAAACAAGAGTTATTTCTGGAAATATTTAATTAAACAAATGATGCTCTGCTGGTGGAGAGAAGTAAAGCATCGATCTGTAACATTTAGTATACAATCTTTTGGAAATTGTCATTTCAAATGACCTTTTATTCAAAACCTCATGAATTTATAAGCCTTCGTCCAATGCCATTGACCTTACGTACGTCACGTGCATGGACCTTTATACCAAATAAAGTCCTCGATCTTCATGAGTATCCTTAAATAGTATATTATACTTATAGTACTTTAAACCAGTTTCGATATTACTGAGAAAGTCTTAAATTGCTGGAATGCTAAGAAACCCATGCAGGCCGAATAAAGTACGAATAAGTATGAAGTTATTCTGAGCAAATTATAACATTAGAAACAGCTGAAACTCCCTAAAAGGCGTTCACAGGATCTTTTGTTTATTGAGACTAAACATCTCTTGAAACTGAAAACAATGTAACAAAGGCTTGGCTGAGTTCTGAAAACACAGCAAAAAAAAATTTTTTTTTTGCAAAGTACTTCATTTCCTTATGAAAGAACGACAAACGATAAGGGTGAGAAATTGATTTTTTTCACAACAGTTGTTCAGTTGCAGTGCGTGAATTTTAACTCCTTCTTCCCTAGCTATTACTTTTTATTAGTGAGCGCTTTGAGCAATTAGCGGATTTAGTGCTATAAATATTATTATTATTATTATTATTATTATTATTATTATTATTATTATTATTATTATTATTATTATTATTATTATTATTATTATTATAGCTAGCTAGCTATAACAGTAGGAAAAGTTAGAATTTAACTTTTATTTTGAATAAGAGGCAAATCATTTGAAATATAGATCAATGAATCCTGACTGCAACCATACAATCAACTTTCAAGTCGTTCATTAAGTATTTATGTTCAATATTTTAGCCTTCTCGCTATAAGATAAACCAGTCAAATTATTTTAAATTCGTCTTAGAATAAGAAATTCTAATTTTAGCTGTATTTTACCTTTGCTTCCATTAACAAAACAATCAACCTATTGGAGCAACATAAATTGCATTCCCAGTTGGTTGGTTAATCAAAGCGTAGGGGTTCTTGTGGCTGACCAGTGATGTTGTGCCATTCAACTGGAATATAAACTCGATTTTAATCAAAGTACGAGCCGCTTTCATCTTTTCATTCCAAACGTAATCGCCACCCCAACGAAACATTTAGAAAATTGGAAATATATATGATCAGTATAGCGATGCCCAAAATTTGCCATAGTGTCTAGTATGTCTCTTAGCTTTTAACTGACCTACATCCGTGAGATAATCTGAATTTTTACACTGTAATCGTTTAATTTGTCGATTTTGGGGCTTCGCAGAATAATAATGAATTAGATATAGAGAAAATTGATGAAGCAGACGGCGGAATAGCGAACTCAGAAAATGTTTTAGAGAAGCTAAGAATTTTTCTTCCATTACTTGGCGTTTGCTTGCCTCTGTCAACATTTTGTAATCTAGCTAGAAGCTGGGACAAAGTAAAGATTTTCAAAGATTTTAAATTTTTTTGAGGCAAGGCATTTTGTTTCGTTTTGTTTTCGCCCCAATAAGTGTCTTAGCCACAGCTTCTGAAACTGCGCTTGCCAGACCATTCTCCAGACAGAGCCAAGCTCCACAAGGATCGCAATCAAGGAAAAATAACTTATCGTCTAATTCTACAAGATTATAAACCCCATAAATAAGTCCAGCTCTTCTATGAAAGCTCAAAAGACCATTCTCGACAACTTCAGGGACTTTACAGGGTTTTCTCGGTAGTGTAGTCGGTTCAGAGTCTTGCTCAACTTTGCCCAAATCACTTTTCGTGCCGGCAGACCTTGTAGCAAATATTACATCCCCAACGATCACTACACGAATGTTATTACCATTAGGGATCATTTCCTGAAAAATTCCTGGGAAAACAGAGATTCTTGAGAACGAAGCCATGGCGTACTCTTTAGATATTTCTTTTGGACGTATTCGTTTGTTTGGTGGTATAAGAAGAGGAGTTAGAGGTTTGGAGACGACTCGTAAAGTAGGCTTAGAGAAAAGGCTTTGAACCGAAGCAGCATCATTGGTGATTTTACTCAAAGGGATCTTCAGCCCACATTCCTGAGCTAGTCGTAGCTGAAAGGCTTTGCTTTTGATTTGTTCAATATTCAAGAGTGGGTTTATCCACACAGCTTCTGAAACAAACTCAGCAAGCGAGAGAATCACATTTTTCCACTCCTCAAGAGCAAAGTCCTTCGTTAGTGTGTCGTACATAGAATCTCCGTCGTAAAATTTCTCTGGCTTCCATCGATACCAAACGCTCTGTACACGATTCGAAGAAACTTGCTCATCTCCTGTAGTGATAACACAACTATATGGTTTGTTATTCTCTAGAGAGATGTCAATATAATGGTCGTTACGAAGAGGATTGAAAAGAACAAATTTGAGATCGTTAGCAAGTAGTTTGACTTTGGTTTCTACAGCATTGATGTGAGGGTCATGATGACTTCCAATGCACAGTGTTACATTTCGTTTCGTATTCAGGTCGTCCATGATGCGATTGTTGGTGGATAGAATAAATCAGTCCTTTACGTACCTATCCTTTACTTTCTCAAGACCGCGTCTGAGAAATGATGCACCTGACAGTTGCATAGCATAGCAGAATGTCAGGCAAGCCCTAGTAATTGACAAAAATGATGATCCGTCTTGGTATTATTCGATATTGCACGTCACGTCATCGTCGCCATGTTTGTCAAGATTTCTACACAATTGGGTGAGAAGGGGGTTGCGTAAATCCAAAAAATATATATCGAGCAAGCACATCACCTACGAAAAAATATCGCGCAACTTCTCCTTTCAGAAAGGAAATATCGATCACCAAAAAAGTGCGCGGTGCAGGGATTGTTTAAAATAAATAGCTATCGGAATTTATTGTCACCGTGTAAATCAGTTTTACATTGGCTTAAAAGACAAAAGACAATAAACTAAACTAAACAATCGTGCAACATAAATTCCTGACCCCCCCCCCCCCAATTATCTAATGGTCCATCCCTTTCCATTCACCCTCCGAATCTCACCCACTGAGTATTGAGGGCCGCTACGCAGGCTATCCATCCCTTAATAGCATCCATTATTAATCGCTCCAAGCCACCATGCTTTCGTCTTCTGATTCTCTCGGGAATGCTTACAACCCATCATTTCACCATAGTTAATTTTACATACATATTTTCAGTATTGTTTCTACATGAAGTGAGTAGTTGGATGGTAAAATATTCTTATTTGATTTGAGTGATACATCTTGGAGATATCAAGGTTTATACTTCCAATATGTTAATAACTGTCATGTCATAAGAGGAACAAAAAATATATAACTTTTCTGGGGCAGTAAATATCCTGTATAAAACATATTTGTCTTACTCAGGGTTTATAGAAAGGTTATAGCAAATTTGATTTCCCATTGTAATCGGTGTTTCAATTTATAAATGATGACAATGAACTCAAATGCCTCCAATGATGTCACATTCAGTGGCGGATCAAGGGGGGGTCGAAGGGGTCCACGGAACCCCCCTTGAAGGTTTGATCTTTTAGGTAATAGAAATATGTCTTATATAAATTCTAATAAAAAAATATCAGTAGTTTTGCGTTGGGTCGTGTTATTATAGCTTGGTCCGTTACTAGATAGTAAATTAGGTGATTAGAGCCAATTTTTTTGTCAAACATCGACTAAACAAAAGAGAATTATACACAATTTAAGAAACGAAACCCCCCTTTGAAAAATCCTGGATCCGCCACTGACGATTTTAAGCCAGCTTTGCGTCATTGTTTTGTCAAACTCTCAAGTCTCTACTTTCACAAAGACGCAAAGTACTATGGGGATGTGAAACTAGAGAATAATAAAATTTTCTAAATTTCTCGAAAGGAAATAAAATAAATCATAAACCAAAATTGTTGCCATTGACTAAAGTTAAATTCAATATCAAGTGGAATATGACAAAATAATTCCCCGACATTTTCAAAATTACAGCTTCGCGATGATGGGCGGCCAATACGGTATACTGTATATATTCCGGCAATTATAGCCGCCAATATCTTATATTAGTATAATTTTATACTTGAAAATAGAGTTTCTCGAGCTGTAATTGGTCGAGTGACCAGTGATTCTGAGTGAACAAAAGGTTTTACAAGTCATAAATGATTCATTCACTATGCTTCTGGATTAAATACGAGTCATTTTGCATGGGGCGTTTGCCGGGATTACTATGTAACCCGCTCTAAGATTCGTCGTTATTTCTGTACTGCAAGACCTGTAATGTTGAAGAAACTTCAAGAAATGCCGGTTAAATTGTTACAGACATTACTCATGCTTTACATGCTGAAGGTCAGTGTCTAATACATCTGTTTTGTTAAATACTGCTGACATAGTTTAATTTCGAATGGAGGAAACAAAGTCACAGATAAGACGACTTACAAAACAAATACAATTATGTCATAAACTCAATGCTAATTTATTTGAATTTATTGAACTTGTCCATAAAATTCCTCAGTTTTGCACTCCTGTGCCAGTCTTATTTGTTTTGAACAAATGAAAGTTGGTTTTATTTAGTTCAATTAAGAACTTTTTTATCTAAGGTTTGGCCGAAGTATGTAACTAAAATTAACTCTTTGCAGTAAGATATAACGATTACGGCTTAGGTTTTTTAGACAGAAAAGTTCTTGGAAAGATTATTATTTTCTTCCTTTTTTTATTTTTTCCTCTTTTTTTATTTTTTTATTTCTTATTTTATTTCATTTTTATTTTTTTATTTCTTATTCATTTATTTTTCTTTCTCACTCATTAAACATAAAGCAACTACGTTTTTGCTTATGAGCTAATGTCAGCATAGTTCAAACTAAAAAAAAACTAATTATGTAGAACATAGAATATGCCTGAGTAACTAATAAGAAAAATTGTCGATAAAGTTTCTCGTCCTTTTCTTCTGTCCTATTAGTGATAGTAACTCCACTTCAGTAAATATCCCTGGCTGTTGACTCGATAGTTTATACTTTTTCAACAGCCATACACACTAAACTTGATCTCGCTTTGTAAATATTTATTCTGTATTTTTCATAACTGTTCAACTCTATTCAATTATTCCTATATTTTTGTATTGTAATTTTTGTGTGTGAAATAAACTTGACTTGACTTGACTCCCTGAAATATCTTCTTTTTTATACAAAACATGGAACATGTTTGCAGATAATTTTTTCTCGTTCTGTTTCAAAAACTCTTTTTCATTCCTTTTCGTGATACTAACTCCATATTTTTTATCTAACACAGCAACTGATCGTTGTGAGGGCAACAGATGAAGGTATGTATATCAATATTTCTTATTATCAGATTGATCCTATTATTTATATAGCACCTGCTCGGTGAGGTAAATAGGTAGGAATAACAAGGCGTTTTAGATGCATTGTTGTTCAGGAGGCTCTCTTTTTTCATATGAAGCAATTAGATAGAACTACTAAATATGCTTTCGCTTTCCTCACAGCTTTTCCAACAATTTACTTCAGAGTCTGATAAAGTAAACTTTTTTCTACGTGGTTTTCCACATTTAACTTTTAAGCAAAATCAAAAACTGTTCTTGAGTGTCCAACAATATTTGATAGACACCAAAAGATTTGTATAGAGTAAAGAACGCTTAATTTAATTATTTTGTAGATATATTTTCCTTTCCATTGTACTTTTTCTATATATATATATATATATATATATATATATATATATGGGGGTTTTTTCTCTTGCTAATACGTTAAACTCATTTTTCTTTTTCCTAAAAACTCCAAAAACACTGTGATTATGTTTTGTGTAATCTCTCACGATGAGCTTAGCTCTTAGAGAGAACACAGAGAGTTAATATGTTTAAATTAAAAAAATAAATTAAATTAAAAAAAGATAGAACTTGTTTGCACTAGTAAAACAGTTTTTTAGACCGGCTACGATTTGCATTAGTTTTCCTTCAAGAGAATATACTTAATATTCTCTTGTTTTCCTCATAATATTGTGGTTGTGTGTTTGTGGAATTAAAATACTTCCTAATATAAATACGGCGGCTTATATACATACTTTGTATTTTGATTTATGGTTGATACTCTTATAAAACAATGAAGATTAATGTATGTTTTAAACTGATCTCGCTGAAGGTTTTAGGAATGCTTTCTCTTCATGAGAAAAGGAAGGCCTTTTCTCTTTGGTAAATAAAAAAGCGGACATTTTGGTTCTTTACAGGAAACGCAAAGTACAAAAGAAATAGAATCACAATGGAAAACCAGTAGCGCGGATCCTGTTTTATTATTATTATTATTATGGCAAGTTTTATTTGTCTGTATATATCATGTTTACATTGACCAGCGGACTAAGTCTAGGCTGGTTAAGTTCATC